CAGAAATAATCACTACTTAGAATATAATAATTTTATTGTATAATAATATTTTAGGAATAAAACAATAATAACTTAGGTTTTAGAAATGTTATTATGTGATATGGAAAACATAATTTTGCTCATATACACAACAGTTGGTCGGTAATGTTTACAGATCGAACCATAACAAGTTGTTTTCAATATCGTACAATATAGTTATATTACTTTAACTGAAAAATGTAAGCAAATGTATAATAGATGAAGTCTATTATAATGCATATAATTTTAAAAAGAACAAGATTTAAATCATGTCATATAACATAATAAACTTTTGTGGTTTGTCCTTTAAAAATATTAATTGAAACTAAGCCTTAGGTACTCTACTAATTTTATAACGCGATTCGAAAAACATGATTTTACACAATTACAATAGTTGGTCGGTATTGAATACAGTTCGAACCATGTTATTGTAGTAGGGCAGATGCACAGCAGATGTCCTTTTAATATTTATTTTCAGACTTAGTGCTTTGCTATACTAACTCTACTAGTTATCACAAAAGAATAGTAATAGTCATTAACAATACATTTATTCTAAAAATATTTAAGTATGGAAAAACTAAGTAATATTTAGTTGTAAAGGTCTGGTCGACTATTCTGTCTTGTTCGACCCGTTCAAATCTTAGACGGCTTCTTTTAATTAAAATATATTCTCTGGTTAAATACTATGAGATAATAAGTGGCCCATGATAAAAAAAAATAACCCCGTATAATCACTACTTGGTAGCTTGCTGGCTTAAGCATGTTTCATGTTTTATATTTTTAGCCGTTAGGCTTTTGTTTAGTTGGTTTTTGTTTGTACAAATTGCTCAGAAAATATTCATCAACATTTGAATACACAATCGTACTAGAAGTGGGTCATTCGAAACACGGATTTACAAAAACATATAGTTGGTAATATGTTGGAGTTTTAAAAAAATAATAAACTAAGAAACAGATGTCTAAACAGTATCATGATACAAAAACAATACTGAACAAATAAAAAAACTATATTATTTTATTTTTTTTTAATAATTCATAGTAAGCCGTAAAGTTTTAGTTGAAAAATATTTGATGTATATGGCCTGTACATAAAAAACAACCGAATATTTGACTGTTAAGCGTGTACATATTGTACCTTAGCTAAGCGATAAACTAATATGAAAAAACAAAATGAGTTTTCATAATTCCCATTAAGAATGTAATATAAACTGAAAAAAAGATACGGAAAAAAATATTTTTAAATTAAATTAAAATATCAATTTATTACAGAGTGGGGGTTTAGCTTCAATTAAGACTTTTAAAGGACAAACCACAAAAGTTTATTATATTATGTGAGATGACTCAAATTTTGATCCCTTTAAGCTTATTTGCAGTCACGCATTAATTTGTAGTGTACATGAGAAAAATCATAAATGGCCTATACATAAAAAAATAGCGAAAAAAAACAGTTTTTGAATATTTTACATTAAAGCGTGTATACCTATTATACTTTAACTAAGCAATAGTCTAATATGAAAAAAAAAATTTGTTTTCATAATTCCCATCAAAAATATAATATAAACGAAAAAAGAGATAATACGGAATAAATATTTAAAATTTTTACGGTTAGGTACGGGGGGAATTGGTTTTAGAAGCAAAGAGCTTAAATGGCTCGTAAAAGCTTAAAAAAAAATAAAAAAATAATTGAAAATATTATTATATGTTTAATGTTTCATTTTTTAACACAATGATTACAGGCCCTTTTGATCACTAAGCCCTATTAAATAGGGCATATTATATTATGTTGAATGTCGAAAAGGACATAATTCAAAAATAGTTAACCGAAACTGGTTATCGACCAGTAAACATTTTAGTACAATATTCTCAATTTGCTATCAAAAAAACTAAGTTGGGAGAGGGGGAGTACAAATAAAAAAGTTCTGAAAATTTGATATCACATTGTATAAAAACAATTTGAAAAAAAAATGTAAATCCTATTAAAAAAAAAAAAATTATTTTTTAATTTTTTATTCCAAAAATGATCTTGACTTGATACTATGTAAAATCTATTTATTCGTATTTAGAAGCTTATAATGCTAAATCAGCGAAAAGAGATTTTGTATAACGAATGTTTGTTAAAAAGTATACAAAAAATTATCATTGTCTTAAAAATAAAAAACATGTCCTCTCTTAACATTGAACATATAATAATATTTTTTTTAAACTATTCTTCTATATTATAATATAATAAAATTAATATAAATTTTATTAGGGTAAAACTATACTCTAATTTTATAACGATACTTAGGAATGCTTCCGTATAATCTTACTTTCAGTTCTATTAAAATTATATATTATAAAATTGTTATTATTGATTGATTAAGATTCGTTCTGAAATACAAATGGTAATGCTATAACTATGATATGTTTCATTAATGTTGGTTGTGTGTGCATATAAGACATGTTTACCTGTGCCCCGAAGGGGTCCCCTACGACAGCGGACCCTATAACAATAACATATTAAATATAACACCATTATACGATATTATGGTTGTTATGGTTCGATCTGTAAAAAATACCGACCAACTATTGTGTATATGAGTAAAATTGTGTTTTTCAAATCACATTATAACATTTTTAAAACCTATGGTATAATTGTTTTATACCTAAAATATTATTATATAATAAAATTAATACACGAATGCTATATTTACTAATTAATATAAAATGCTTCCGTATATTCTTACTTCAGTTCTTAGGAGTTTTTAGTTAAAATGATTAAGGTTTTTAAAAAATAAACCGGGTTTGTACAATTAAAAAAAAACAATTTTAATATTAAATAATATGCCATTGCACGCATATTCTGGAAAGTGCTCAGCCCCTCAATTTCGTTGAATAATCATTATTATTATGTGTTATTGAATGTTAAGTAAATTTTACTTATTAACATTCCTGCGATTTGTCGTCAATATCGTTATATAATTGGAGTATTATATTTTCCTAAAAAAAACTATATTAATTTTATAATAACATAATAATATTTTATAACGCGATTTGAAAAACTTGATTTTACTCATATGCACAACAGTTGGTCGGTAATGTTTACAGATCGAACCGTGTTATTGTAATAGCGTCACAGCACATTTTGTTTTTTTTTTTAACTTAAAAATATGTGCAAATGATAAAATCTATTATATTGCATATAATTTTTAAAGGGTCAAGATTTGAGTCATCTCACAAAATATGTTAAACCTCTGTAGTTTGTCTTTTAAAAGTCTTAATTGACAGAAGCTAAACCCTTACTCCGATTAAAAATTTAAAAAATATTTTCAACTACCAAGAATTACTAAGAATTATTGAACAAATAATAGAATATTATGATTATTATTATTATTTTTCAGTATTATTTTCGTACCATGATTCATTTTAGACATCTGCTTCTTAGTATGTTATTTTTTTCAAAACTCCAACATGTTACGTTTTTGTAAATCCGTGTTTCCAAAGACGCACTTCTAGTACGAATGTGTATTCAAATGTTGCTGAATATTTTCTGAGCAATTTGTACAAACAAAAAACAACTTACAAGACATGTGGTTTTTAGTATTAACAAAACACCATGCAGCTAATATAAAAAGAAAAATATAGTAGGTACTTACTAGTATTCCAGTTACTTCCAAAGGCAAACGACAGTCATCTTTATATATATATTGTCAAAAATGCGTTTCTTATACATTGTTATGTTGCTTGTATTAATTCTAACAAAGTTGTCAGGTATTTTAATAAATATAGTTTTTGTAATTTCATAAAAACATTAACTACCTAAATTTTACATAACCCTTTTGGTTTTTCAGCGGGATCTGGGGCTGGGGGAAATCCAAATCGTAAGTTATTATATTAATAACTAAAAAAAAGCTTACTAATCTTTCCAAAGCGTACACTGAGTAATTTGAAAGTATATTATTTTTGAACGAGTTATCAATTACACATTTTTTAAGCTTAAATGTTTATAATATTTCTATTATATTAAATTTCAGTTGGATCTGGATCTGAATCTGGGTCTGGGTCTGGATCTAGGACTAAGAACAGTAAGTTATTTTCTTTGTTTACAAAACAATGCATATAAATCTTTCCAAAGCGTACACTGAGTAATTTGTACATTTCTGGAATTTTGTATAAATATTAACCACCTAAGTATAACAAACTCCTTTTGGTTTTTAGCGGGAGCTGCGTCTTGGATAAATGCAGTTCGTAAGTTATTTTATTTGTTTTACTAAAAAAATCATACAAAGTGAGTAAGTATATTATTTTTGAACGAACTATTAATAAGATACTCATTTTTTAAACCTTAAAAAACGTTTTATTTCATCATTTATAATATGTACAGATTATGTCTCATCGTTAGTTTATACAAGGTCTCACCATAATTGGTCCAAAATGATCATACAGCTAGACCCATAATTTTGTTTTTGATATTGTTACAAGTGTACACATAACTAGAATTTCATTGTTCTAGAATTTTGTATAAATATTAATCACCTAGTAAACACAGAAAACTTTCCAAAACGAATTATCAATTACAAATTTTTTAAATAACAATTATTTTTGAAATTTATTATAAATATTTACCACCAAAATATAACAATTTATAATTTCATTAATTACCACTTCCCTTTTGTTTTACAGCTTTTTATCCAGCACCAAAATTGAGTAAGTTATTTTCATTGATTTACTAAAAAAAACATACTAATCTTTTCAAAGCATACACTTGTGTAATTTTAAAGAATATTCTGGTATGGTGAACTAAATCAACTGATAAATAGTCATTATAATAATTTTTTTTTGGCTGCATATCTAAGATCACTTTTGTTTATTTAACAAAATATGTTGCGTGATGTTACTGCCTTTAAAATATTACTCGTGTGAGTTTAATTAATAACAACCATTTTTGAAATTTTGAATAAATATTAACAACCCAAATATAAAAAAATCATTTTGTTTTTCAGCGGGATCTGGGTCTGGGCCTGGATCTGGGTCTGGGATAGATGAAAGACGTAAGTTATTTTCTTTGTTACTAAATAATACAAATAAATCTTTCCATAGCGTACACTGAGTACCTAAAAACCTAAAAAAATGTTTACAGCATTTATAATATGTACAGATTATGTCTCATCATTAGATTATACAAGGTCTCTCCAAAATTGATCGATAATGATCATACAGCTAGACCCATAATTTTGTTTTTGATATTGTTACAAGTGTACACATAACTAGGATTTCATTGTTCTAGAATTTTGTATAAATATTAATCACCTATATATAACAAAATCCTTTTGTTTTTCAGCGGGGAAAACACCTGAAAAACGTAAGTTATTTTCTTTGTTTTACCGGAAAAAATCAATTACACATTTTTTAACTATAAACAACCGATAATATAGTACTAATAATATTAATGCTTCGTCATTGAGTATACAGTAGTGTGGTGAAAAAAGTCAATTTAGTCATTATAGTTATATACTTTATCTGTATATTTAAGATCTCTTTCATTTTATACCAAATGTTACGTGGGGTTAATGACTAAACAATTTTGACAGTTTGTTTCATACCGACAAACCGTTTTTTTTAAATCTTGTTCGATAAAACACAAAACGTAATTATATGTTATTTATAATTATCATAGCCCTAATCAGTAATCTCAACTTAGTATAATAAAAAGTTACACCAAAAAACACCAAAATATAACTATTAATAATTTGAATACTAACCACCACTGCCTTTTTGTTTTACAGATTTACCAGCGCGTGAGTTGTTTTCATTATTTTACTAAAACAAATTCATCCAAAAATCTTTCCTAATCATACACTAAGTAATTTGAAAGAATAATATTTTTGAACAAACTATTAGTAGGACATACATTTTGAAACCTAAATAAATGTTTACAGCATTTACAACGGTTTGACTAAATTATCTTCAATACTTAACTTTGATTATTTCTACTGGATACAAAATATACAGCTTATCTTTATTAATAAAACGTTAGTTAATAACTTACTACAAATGTACATAGTACAATTTTTGTACGTACAATAAAAGGAACCTAAATATATATATATATATTTAAAAATGTTCAATATTACAGCAAAACCACGAAATGTACACACAGAACGAGAAAAAGTGAAAGGTTAGAATATGTTATCATACCTAGAGTTAAATTATACTTTTGAGCTAATTATGCTTACTATTTAACTCTAAGTTATTTTTACTGAATTTAAATTATACAGGTTATCCTTACCAACAAAACGACAGTTATTAGCTTACTATAATTTACACTACACATTTTAATGTACAACAGAAGGAACCTAAGTTTATATATACATTTTTTTAATTACAGAATTTTTAGAAAAACACGAGAAATAGCAACACCAGCCGCGCAATCGCCGAACGGGCAGACTATGTCATTATTCATTAAAGAAAAATTATATAAAGCATCATTTTAATTCTTATTAACATTGCGCTTCACGCAATTTATGTACCCAATTCTTAGAATAAAATAAAATAAAAAACTTACTATGTCTATGCAAATAATTAATACATCTTTCAACTATAAATAAAAAAAGTGTATTTTATTAATTAAAGGTAATATAAGATTTTTTTGAGGACGTCATCCCATTTGAAAATAATCATAACGTGTGTTTATGGAAAAGAGTGTAGGAGGTCTCATACTTAAAAAAAAATATTTAATTATTCCTAGAGCTCTAAAAAGTATATCTAGCGAATTATTTTACAAACGAATGATTCAATTAGATTTTGAAAAATTTTGCAATTTTGCAAATTTAAAAAAAAATTATGTTTGCCTGTTACCACAAGAGTACAAAAATATATTCTAAAATTATGATATAATTAATAAATTTAAAATGATGAAAAATAAATGGGTTTTTTTTTGTTAAACCATGTACGTTAGACAAAAACATTAGAAGGGTACAGGGAAAAAACAGCAAAATAACAAAATACTTACAACTTTTAAAAAAATGTCAAACTTTAACTTTAACGATAGAAATCTATCGTCATTCCATCTCTCTAATGGATAACCCCCCCCCCCCCACCCAAGGCTCATATAATAATCTCAGTAATATTGGTACTTTTCGGACAGTCAATACTACTTTTCGGGATATCCTTCTTAACGTCTAACATTAATAGTTTTAAATTGTACTTATAAGTCAAAAAGTTGTGTATTATTTTGATATGATTAGAAAATGTCAAAATAAACATCACTTGCTTGTATCCTGACGGGACCCCGAATTGATTTTGGTAATAAAGGACATTTAGGATGCGGGTGCAGCGATTGTCATCTGCTTTAAATGCATAGAATTCATAGGCTTTTCGGTTTTTCATAGACAATGAACTATGCCTTTGCTTTACAAATTATTATGTAATATAAAACCAGCTGTTTTGTATATATAGAAATATTGGTAGGTATCATAATTTTAGTCGTTTGTCTAGGATTAAACCTAAGTATTTTAATGTGTCGGTTAGGTTCGGAACGGGGTGTGGTAAGATATAAAGTGTTATAATTTAGTATGTTAATATATAATTCTTATTATTAATATACAGGGTGATCCAACTAACGTAAGACACTCATTTTCTCGGAATATATGAATATTTTGAGACGTTTTTTTCCCTTAAACTTATAGGTTCATATTTTATTACTACATTTTTCAATATTTAGAATATTTTTATCATCAACCCTCATATGTAAAACAAGTATCGAATTTAGTTTTTTTAAATGGGAACGAATGTTTATAACTTGATAAATCTGTAGACACATTTTTAAAACATTTATAGCGTTTGAATTTCTAATTTTCATCAATCGGTTCCCTACTTATTACGTTGTAAAGATTTGAAATTTTGATCCCTGAATATTTGGCATTTCAACACAGGTAGCTTATTACTTACTATTAAATAATATTATTGACCCCGTCGATAAAACCGATAGCCAGATACTAATAATACTCTTATACATTTTTTTTTATAACATATGGAGAAGCGGTTCTGTACCTGCGGTCGGAAACCGTGACATCTTACAAACGTTTAGTAAATTGTTTACATATCTTATCAGCAGACAAGACTTGATGAAATTCTTTTCTAACTCAACCGTTTCAAATTTTGATTACGATATTAAAATGTTATCATGCCAAAAAAATGCGTGCACCGTGACTTGCATTGTGTATTCAGAATCCGGAAAAATCATGTGCCGTTTTGTTGATACATTGAAGTATTGTCAATTTATTGTGTTTATAAAATCCCTAATTGTGACTAAATTTTATATTGCCCTACAATATACGATGAAAACTAATAAACTTAATGATTTCAAAAACAAAAACTTGTTCCTATTAGTAATAGTAAAAATGTTGTAATCAAATTTTTGATATTTGACATAATATTATGCCCCCCGGCTACTGAAGATTTTAAATTTTACATTCATATTCCATAAACATTAGAATATATTACCCTGATGTGGAAATAATAACTAATCATTGCTGATGGTAATGATAATGACAATTAATATGGAATAGCTGATATTGACGACAAATCGCAGGAATGTTAGTAAGTAAAATTTGTTTAACATTCAATAACACATCATAATAATGATTATTCAAGGAATTGAGGGGCTGAGCACTTTCCAGAATATGCGTGCAATGGCATATTATTTAATATTAAAATTGTTTTTTTTTAATTGTACAAAACTGGTTTATTTTTAAAAAACCTTAATCATTTTAACTAAAAACTCCTAAGAACTGAAGTAAGAATATACGGAAGCACATTATATTAATATAGCATTCGTGTATTAATTGTATTATATAATAATATTTTAGGTATAAAACAATTATACCATAGGTTTTAAAAATGATATAATGTGATTTGAAAAACACGATTTTACTCATTTACACAATAGTTGGTAGGTATTTTTTACAGATCGAACCATAACATATTGTTTTCAATATCGTACAAAGGTGTTATATTATTTTAACTGAAAAATATGTGCAAATGATAAAATATATTATATTGCAAATTATTTTAAAGGAATTACGATTTGAGTCATCTCACATAATATATAAAACCTTTAATAGTCTTAATTGAGCTAATCCCTTACTCAGTTTAAACATTTAAAACAAATTATATTTTTCAACTATAATTTTCGGCTAACTAAGAATTATTTAACAAATAATAGAATAATATAGTTCTTAATTTTTCAGTATTATTTTTGTACCATGATTCATTTAAGACATCTGTTTCTTAGTATGTTATTTTTTTAATACTCCTACATATTACCAACTATATGTTTTTGTAAATTCGTGTTTCGAATGACGCACTTCTAGTTAGATTGTGTATTAAAATGTTGATAAATGTTTTCAGAGGAATAGGGAAAAACAAAAAACAACAGCAGATGTTTTTAGGGTATATATTACCCAACTATTCCCAAAATATATTTGGGAATATATTTTTTTGAGTACTCAAATTTATGTATTTTTTGAAACTTTCACGGGTTGAAATATCACGTGGATGATTTTCAGATATATCCGTGTCAGTGGTGATTAACCGGCAGCGGAAAAGTCGTGACAACCCTGAGGATGGACTCGGCAAAGAATCCGAATAGTCGGTTAACAACCACTGACACGGATATATCTAAAAATCATTCATGTAATAGTAAAATTTAATTAGGTGTCATTATTTTATTATTCGGTATGTTTCAAAAACACTACTGTATATTATTAAGGTATATTTATCCTTTAAAAATAAAATGAATATCCGAAACTATCCGGATAAATTTAAACTATCCGGATTTCGGATATCCGTATCCGAATATCCGGATAGGCCCAACCCTAATCGGTATATCTAATTTCTCACTGGTCAAACTTTGATGGTGAAATCCATCTTAATAGGACATGTTGATTTTGTTGGAACTCTTTTGGCTCAACACCCTTATATTATATTATCCGTTACCCCTCTACGCCCCCCCCCCCACAACAACGTTTTTAAATTTTAGACATGTTTCAGAAAAATTTTTTTCTTTAACAGTTTTGATATGACCTTAATTCACCTAGAAATACGATTTTACTCATATATACTAATACACCATAACTGGTCGGTAATGACTATACAGATAGAAACATAATTTTGTTTTCGACATTGCACAAGTATTGGAGTATTGTTTTTTCCTAACAAAAATCGATATTATTTTCATTATATAATATTTTAGGTATAAAACAATAATACCATAGGTTTTAGAATTATTATGATGCGATTCGAAAAACATGATTTTACTCATAAACACAACAGTTGGTCGGTAATATTTACAGATCGAACCATAACATGTTGTTTTCAATATCGTACAATGGTGTTATATTTTTTTAACTAAAAAATATGTGCAAATTTACAATAGTTAACATTTTTAAAAGACCTTAATTATATTCATTAAAAACTCCTAAGAACTGAAGTCAGCTGTAAGATTATACAAGAGCATTCATAGTATCGTTATATAATTGGAGAATTGTATTTTTCTAAAAAAATCTATATTAATTTTATTAAAACATAATAATATTTTATAACGCGATTTGAAAAACATGATTTTACTCATATACACAACAGTTGGTCGGTAATGTTTACAGATCGTACCATAACATGTTGTTTTCAATATCGTACAATGGTGTTATATTTTTTTAACTAAAAAATATGTGCAAATTTACAATAGTTAACATTTTTAAAAGACCTTAATTATATTCATTAAAAACTCCTAAGAACTGAAGTCAGCTGTAAGATTATACAAGAGCATTCATAGTATTGTTAAATAATTGGAGAATTGTATTTTTCTAAAAAAATCTATATTAATTTTATTAA